AAAACTGCACTTACCCCTCCTACACACTCACATGTAGTCCGCAGATACTGGATTAGGGCGCGCCGGGACTGCCGAGGAAGAAGACGGGATTAGGAAGAACACGAGGAACCTTTTGGGAGAATGTAGGGTTAGGTGTTTTGACTGGTGTTTTGTGGTGATGGTTTTGGTAATGGCAGCTGAGTTAGATAGAACTATTATGGGCAGTCAGACAGGGCCAGGCCCTCAAAGGAGCCCTTGTGGAAGATGAGATTCCTTGCAGCTGTGGGGGAGACAGACACCTCCAGCTGTGGACGGAAGATTAAACAGATGTGCCCACATACTTCCCTAGGGATGGACCTCAGAGACTGATATTCTAAACAGGTAGCCATCACCTTAAAAAGGCCAGGAAGAGTCACTAGCCCAACCCCCTATAGGAAAAGCTCCTGTTCTGTATTCACGCCGATTGCTACGTGACTCGCTTCCCCATTTGATCCCAATTTAATCAACTAGGGGAGTATTTGGCATTTTCTTTCTCTTAGAGCAAATGCAAATGATTTTGTTTCCAAAGTCTAGGAGGTGTTTGAGCTCCTTAGTCTAAAAGTTATTTGGAATTATTTATCTGAAGACTTAGAGAAAGTACAAAGATATTACAGTATTTCAGCAGCATGGTTTTGGATAAGAAATTCTGTTACACTTTGAAATTGTACCTTTGTTTTTTTCCTAACTTTTTCATATTTTCTAAAAACATAGTGGATTTCATTAGGAACATAATAAAGTTTTAATAATATGATAAAATTAGAGGTTTTCTTACAACCACAAAGAACCTAATGAATCAGAAGCTAGGAAGGTAATAATGTATGCCATGTTTTTCTTGTGGGAAAAATAAAGAATGATATTTTACAGTGATTTTGTAAATGGCTTTTCCTCCCAGTACTAAGTCCAGGTTTCTAAGTCATTCTTATAAGGATTCTATGCCACTCATTAACAGAGAAGATTAAAAAAAAAAAAAAAAAAAAACAACCCCCAAAGCCCAAATTACTGATGATTTGTAATGAAAAAGTGCCAGGTATGTAAAACATAAACTTTGTCACCTGGGGAAATAAGTTCCTATGTAAGTGGAACGAAATAAAAATCTATAATCATACAAGATGAAACTTTCAAAAGAGGCCGTTTGAAGGCACCTTGAAAACAAAGGCGTGCACGTGCTAGGCTAAGTCAAATCTCCTACAGAGAATCTAACGAAAAGAGCACACCCTACGTTATTTGGGCTGCGTGGTAGATCAACAACGGGGTCAGCGTGGTGCCGGGAGTGGGAGGCCCACCTGAGGATTGCTGCCGGCCGCATAAGAGGCAGACCTGGCGAGGAAGAAGTTTGAAAGCTCGCGGAAGCTGTTGGAGGCTGTCGGGGGCTGTTGGTTTTCCCGGAGGAGCTTGTCCTGCTGGCGTTCCTGATGAACTTGGCTGTTCTCGTCAGAGGAGGAGCTCGGGACCCTGCTGGCACTGAGAATGGCTTCGGTTCACTTTGGGGGAGCTCTGGTCGTCACTCTGAGCATCGCTTCCTGGCTCTGGAAGGGAAGAAGGTGCACAGCTCAGTGTCCTGGAGAAGCTTGTCACATGGGCTTTCCTGATGGGAACTCAGCTGTCATCATCGGAGGAGCTCGGGACCTCGCTGTTGCTGAGGAGGGCTGTGCTAGTTTTCAGGGAAGCTCCCGTCCTTACTTTGAGCGTCCCTTCCTGGCCCCAGTGCAGATTCCTTAGCCTACTGACACAGATCCCTCATCCCACTGGCACAGACTTTCTAGCTTGCACCACTGACCTTTGGGCCTTTCCAGCACAGATGCGTGAAACAGGCCTGCATGAGACGTTGTGGGCTCTAGTCCTTCAGTTGGACTATTGGGAGGCCTTGTTATGGGTTCTACGTCTTTAGCTGGACTCATGCAGGACATTACTGTGGGATGCAGGTCCTCAACTGGATTCTTTGGTCTTTAGTGTGTGGACAGAGTCCCTGTACTCTTTTTTCATATATGATTCTTTGGGTGACTGTTAGAAATAATCTTATGGAATATGTGTCCTCTATTATATTGTTACCCTTGCAAAACCCCAAACTATGACAGGCTGCTTTCTATTTTTTTTTTTTTTTTGTCTTTTTGAGACAGGGTCTCGCTCTGCAGTTCAGGTTGGCCTTGAGCTCACTTTATAGCCCAGGCTGGTCTCGAACTCGCAACCATCCTGCTGTCTCAGCCTCCCCAGTGCTGGGATTACAGGTGTGTGCCACCATGCCTGGCTGGGCAGCTTATTCTAAAGTCCTTCCAAAAGTCTCAGGTTTTTTTAAAAAAATCTTTTTTAAAAAATAGAAAGTATCCAAAACTTCAGAGTGGATGGAAAGGTATTTAATTATAATTTTAATACACATCTTATAGGTTTAAATATGCAGAAACATTTTGGAAATACACTGTCAATTCAAATAGTAAGTTTACAAAATATAAATACTAAGGTTCCAGATGGGACCTAGATTGAAGTAATAAACGGTACAAAATTTGCAACTCCCACCCCAATCTAATTTAACTAATTGACATCTTTTAGATAAAATATATGGCTAATTACTAAGCAGGTAAGTGAAACATATATTTCTTCTTTCTTTGTAAATACAGCAATTGGATTTCATAGCTAGTGGAGCAAGCATGTGATACTCAGTTTGTTAACGGCTCCTGAGCCATAAAAGTAGAAAACTTTAGAGCTGATAGGAATTTAGCCACCTTGACAATTATAATAGTTGAAAATGAGTATGAATATTGGCTCCGGAAAAAAAAAAAAAGCTCATGTTGCAAAGGTCTCATAGTGTTTCCTTCGTGTCAGAGTCTGTCATTTTGCATGATATTCTAATCACCAAATATGATCAGAGTAAGCCCAGGACCCTTCCTTTGAGCTTGGATGCACACCGTTTAAACGGTCCATTTGCCTAAACCTGTAAGGACTTGATCTTTCAGAGTCGCGCTACTAAATTTCCGTAAACACCACTCAGTTCCTTTAACAAGGAATCCGCGTACACGGGGTTACAGTGCAAATCCTCCCTCGACGTCCATTAGAAGTTGCCATGCATAAAAAACCGCACAATTCCTGACACCGGAGACGAGTTTCCTTTTGTGAGGAAATAGGCGTCCCGGCTTGAATCGGGTTCTCCCTCTAGAGGGAGACACACTCCAGCATTTACACCGGCGGCGGCGCCCTGCTCCGCGTCTCACTGCCGCGCTCTCTCTGGCGGGACCGCGGGCGGCTCCGAGCTGCAGGACCCGCCGTCCGGTCCTGCGGCTGCCCGGCCCGCGGGGCGGCACCGATTCGCTCCCGCGCGGGGACGTCGCTCCGCGCTCCCCGCACAGCCAGCCCGGGCGGCCGCGGGTGCAGAGCGGAGCAGGGCGCTGCCCTTGGGGGCGACTTTCTGAAGACCACCCTAGTGTATTTCGACAGCCCGACGCCTTGGGGGCGGTGACGCCGCGACGGGCGGGGACTGCTTGGGTTTACTCCGTCTTCCGCTGGCGAGCTGGGGTTGTTGGCAGGAGCCCGCTCCCCGCCTCCCGTGCAGAGACTCCCGCGCGGGCTCGCCGTGCTTGTCCTCGGCCCTCCGGGACAGGATGCCCAGCGGGCAGCGGGGGCTGCGCGGGGCTCTGCTGCGGGCCTCG